CATGTTGACCAGGATGGTCTCGATCTCTTGACCTCGTGATCCACCCGCCTCGGCCTCCCAAAGTGCTGGGATTACAGGTTTGAGCCACCGCGCCCGGCCTTTTTTTTTTTTTTGAGACAGAATTTTGCTCTTCTTGTCCAGGCTAGAGTGCAATGGCAGGATCTTGGCTCACTCTGCAACTTCCGCCTCCTGGGTGCAAATGATTCTCCTGCCTCAGCCTCCCAAATAGGTGGGATTACAGGCATTCATCACCATACCTGGCTAATTTTATATGTTTACTACAGATGGGGTTTCTCCCTGTTGGTCAGGCTGGTCTTGAACTCCCGAACTCAGGTGATCCGCCCACCTCAGCCTCCCAAAGTGCTGGGATTACGGGTGCGAGCCACCTTGCCCAGCCCTCTTCTTTCCTTTTTACCAAGCTATGGACACAAAGTGCAATGAGTAAACTAGAAGATAACCATACCAACCCGAACTTGGTCAGTGAGGAAGTACTCCAGCTTTTCCCGGAGGGAGGGCATCTACTGAGTTGTAAGGTCAGTAATCTTTAGTCTTCCCTTCCTCCAAGTGATAAAATTCCTGGGAGAAATGGGATCCAACAATGGCTTGGGAAATTACCCTTCTGAGAAAGTAGTCTAGAAATGAGTATATGTGGACAGGGAAGGGAAGGTATGTAAAGAAAATTATTATTTTTGTTGGGGGAAGTAGGGTCTCACTCTGTCACCCAGGCTGGAGTACAGTGGCACAGCCATGGCTCACTGCAGCCCAACCTTCCACGCTCAAGTGATCCTCCACCTCAACCTCCCAAGTAGCTGGAACTATAGGTATGCACCACCATGCCCAGCTAATTTTTGAATTTTTGTATTTTTGTAGAGATGGGGTCTCCCTGCGTTACCCAGGCTGGTCTCAAATTCCTGGACTCAAGCAATCCTCCTGCACTGGCCTCCAAAGTGCTGTGATTACAGGCATGAGTCACTACACCTGGCCCATGAAAATTAAAATGACTTAAGCATCAACTTCCCCTCCTTTAACCGTCTTTCCCACTATAGAACCTGTCTATCATCCATGTCTAATTTGGCAGCAATTCACAGAGGTAAGGAAAAGAGAAGAAATGTAAGAAGAGCAAAAGTTAAATTTAGAAGCCCAGAGAACTACTGAGTTATGAAAAATTAGTGGGATGAGTTAGGTCCTCTAGAAATTATAAAGTGGTATGCTACCCAATTCCTTATTCCTACACTCAAATCAAAGATTGGCCACATAAGAAGTAAACAGAGAAAACAAATAAGGATTTTCAAAAACAAAACAATCAAGCATGGGGAAAATAATGCACAGATTCTACAAACTGTCAGAAGCAACTTTATTTGGCCTCTGACATAGTCATTACCTTTTTCCAGCTCAGTTTCCAAAAGGATTAGGGACCTCAGAGGAGCAGGCAATAATAGGAAAGTATTTTTAAATGAGTCCCCTGAACTGTCTCCTACCTTCCAAGAAAACCTGACACATTTTCATTCTAATGAGCTTTTCAAGCCTAATATACTACTCCCAGTGCTGTTCCATGAGGACATAGATCCTCTTATGTCTTCCTGAAGAAAAGGAACAGAAGCCAGTTCTACTTCTGCTCTTGCTTTTTTTTTTTTTTTTTTTTTTTTTTTGACACAGGGTCTCTTTTTGTCATCCAGGCCGGAGTAGTACAATGGCATGAATGTGGCTCACTGCAACCTTGACATCCCTGGCTCAAGATATCAACCTCAGTGGGAGTGGGAGTAGCTGGGACCCTCGACACATGCTTGGCTAATGTTTGTATTTTTGTAGAGACGGGGTTTTGCCATGTTGCCCAGGCTGGTCTTGAACTTCTGGGTTTAGGCGATCCACCCACCCTGGCCTCCCAAAGTGCTGGTATTATAGATGTGAGCCACCGCGCCCAGCCTACTTCTGCTCTTTCTAACTGCATCTGCAAACTACACTGATAGTCTTTCTAGCAGAAAAGTTTTTAAATGGCCAACATTTTTACATTAGCCTTTTATACCAGTGGGCATATGTTTCAAGAGAAATGAAGACTACAGCTTAGTTCACAGAAGGAAATCAAATACTTCCACAGCCAAGAAAGAAATGCAAATCAATTCTTCATTTGAGAACAGGAAAAACAAAGATAAGTAAAAGTCAAACTCAATTTAATTGAAGGGGTCCTTTATCTTTCTGCTTACTTTTCTATTTTTTTTTTTTTTTGAGATGCAGTCTTGCTCTGTTGCGCAGGCTGGGGTGCAGTGGTGTGATCTAGGCTTACCACAACCTTTGCTTCAAGCGATTCTCCTGCCTCAGCCTTCCAAGGTAGCTGGGACTACAGGCGCATGCCACCATGACGGGCTAATTTTTGTATTTTTAGTAGAGATGGGGTTTCATGATGTTGCAGGCTGGTTTCGAACTCCTGACTTTGTGATCCACCCACTGTGGCCTCCCAAAGTGCTGGGATTACAGGCCTGAGCCACCTCGCCGGCCCTCTGCTTACTTTTCTTTCTAAATGATTAGCAATTAGCAAAAATGGATGAACTGATTTGAATCCCATTTCTCGATGGCCCCAGCATAACCAGATGCTTACACATAACCAGTATTAAAGAATACTGGCAGTGGATACTATGAGTGTGTGTAGATGGCCCTGAAACAGGTTGCAAAAGCAAAGACACAATCACTGGTCTTCAAATTATTGAGCTACTTGTTCCCGCCCACAATTTCCAAGTCCATTCTAGACCCTTACCTAAAATATGAAAATGTTTCAGGGCGCCTTACAAAAATTTTACACCCCAGGAGGCCTTTATTACTACTTATTAACAACTGTCTGAATTTGCTGTCCAGCTTGTTCTAAACAGACCCTCATCTCATCCACACCACCACAGGGCCGGCACCAGTTCAAGGGGAAGATGGAAAAAATAGTTCTGGGACATCAGGTGCGGGCAACTGGAAACTCTGAGCAGCTCAAACCTGTGTACTAATCTCCATTTTACTGAGACCATCCACTTTTCCCTTGACAGGGGTGATTCTCACATGCCATGTCCCTGTGGCACGGGCAGTGGCAGTGTTTGAAGTGTGGTGGAAAGGGGACTAGGCTAACAGCCAAGGGAGCTGGGCTCCTATCTTAGTTCTGCCACTCCGAGACCTTGGCCAAGTCACACTGCCCCTTTCTGGCCTGTTTCCTCATCAGTAAAATGCATGGCTCAGGGTAGAAAATCTCTAAGGATCTTGCTATACTGATGATCCTTAGTAAAGGAAAAAAGAAGTGAAAGATCTCATTTAACTCTCTTTTCATCTTCAAAAAGAAATTACAGGCCAGTGTGGTGGCTCACACCTGCAATCCCAGCACTTTGGGAGGCTGAAGCAGGCAGATCACCTGAGGTCAGGAGTTTGAAATCAGTCTGACCAACATGGAGAAACCCCATCTCTATTAAAAATACAAAGTTAGCTGGGCGTGGTGGTGCATGCCTGTAATCCCAGCTACTTGGGAGGCTGAGGCAGGAGAATTGCTTGAACCCGGGAGGTGGAAGGCAGTGAGCGGAGATCGCACCATTGCACTCCAGCCTGGGCAACAAGAGCAAAACTCTGTCAAACACAAAAAATAATAATTAAAAAAAATTACGGATACATGACGTTCTATCAATACATACTGCCAAATTAATTTTTTGTTTGGTTTTTGTTTTTTGAGACGGAGTCTCACTGTATTGCTCAGCTGGGAGTGCAGTGGTACCATCTCAGCTCACTGCGCCCTCCACCGCCCGGGTCCAAGTGGTTCTTCTGCCTCAGCCTCCCAAGCAGCTGGGATTACAGGCGCCCGCCACCACACCCGGCTAATTTTTGTGTTTTTAGTAGAGACAGGGTTTTGCTATGCTTGCCAGGCTGGTCTTGAACTCCTGACCTCAGGTGATCAGCCCACCTGGGCCTCCCAAAGTGCTGAGATTATAGGTGTTGAGCCACCGCGCCCGCCAGCCAAACTAAATTTTGAAAGAGCCACAGATGTACTATATGACTTGAAAGACAATATGACCTGTTAGCGCCAGGTAACTCAGGATTATTGACTACCTTTCTCAAGGCCCTTACCACTCCACAGCTGTCACGTCTGCTAAAGGATAGAGTTTCCAGGTCCCTTGAAAACACCTGAGAAACTGAGCCATCTGGCTATTCCTTAATCATGTGTTCTCCATAAGCTACAAAGACCTACTACATAAAGTCCTGGTTGCAATGATGTTTCCAATAATAGAAATAAGTTACATTATCCACATTCTACTCAGCTCCAAACATGGCCACTTGTTGGCTTGTATCTGAAGCACGAATCCAAGTGATAGAAAAAGAGTTAACATGTCCAGTGGGGTTGAAATCATACACGAGTGCGAACATTAGCTCCCAAACTAAGCTGGGCTAGTGGTGGAGGGGCAATGGGTCAACTGTGAAGAAGCAGGTCAGGACACCTCCTCTCCTTATATGCTGCCTACAACGCCTTCTCTGACAGTTGCAGAATGCAAAAGGCAAGGCGCTTCAGGGATCAAACCTACTCGTAAAAGGGGACACTGAGGCCCAAAGAGAAAGTAACTTGCCCAGAGTGACGCAGTAAGGTCCCACCTCCGCCTGGAGGCCAACGGCGATGACATCCAGGCGAGGGATTACGGAACCACCACAGCCTGGGCCAGCGGAAGGGGACGGGACGCCACGACCCGCAGGGCGGCTTGCCGCCTCAAGACCCTCATCACCGCCAGGGGTGTCTCTTCTGCCAGAGGAGCCTCCCACCCGGCCACAGCACTGCAGCGCTGCCCACCGCTGGACAAAACTGCCCCGCAATCTTCCCGGGCCGCGGGGCTCCAGGGCCTTCAGGACGCCACTCCCACTATCACCCCAGAGAGTGAACTGCGGTGAGAACAGAAACCGGCCGCACCTCTACCCCCGTGGCCCCTTCTCGGGACTGCAAGTCTGAATGTGGGCACCCGAGGCCCTAACTGCCCCTTTCCACTTGAGGCACTCACCAGGGACAGGAGCCAGCAGCGGCGCGGCAGAAAAAGGGCAGGGAGCGGGACGGGGGCGGGGCTAAGCACCCGAGGGAGAGCCCGCCCGGCCCCGCCCACAACGTCACAACGGTCAGCAAGCCCCGCCCCCCGCGCGACGCTTGCTGGGACTTGTAGTGCTCAGGTGACCTGGCCCCAGGCGTGGTCAGCTGCCCTGGACGGCTCTTCTAAGTCCTGGACAGCTCTCCTAAGTCCTGGGCAGTAATCTCACCCAAAGAAACCTATTTCATCCCCTTGAAGGAGCTGTTCACTTTTTTTTTTCTTTTAAACTTTGAGGCATGAGAATAGCTTGAACTTGGCAGAAGGTACAGTGAGCCGAAATCGCGCCGCTGCACTCCAGCCTGGGCGCGATCTCTTTTTTTTTTTTTCTTTTTCTGTCGTCCAGGTTGGAGTGCGGTGGCGCAAACACGGCTCACTGCAGCCCGGACCTCCCTGGTTCAGGTGATCCTCCCACTTCAGTCTACTGAGTAGCTGGGACAACCACGGTGGTCACTTGGTGCCTGCCACCACGCCAGGCTAATTTTTGTATTTTTAGTAGAGACAGGGTTTTGCCATGTTACCCAGTCTGGTCTTGAACTCCTGGGCTCAAAAGATCCATCTGCCTCGGCCTCCCAAACTGTTGGGATTACAAGCCTGAGTCACCACACCCAGCCTAGACTTTTGTGTCTTTCAGTACTGAGCAAGAAAGCTTTATACATTTGAAGGGCCATTAAGAGGTCATCTTCTGCTTCAGGTAATGGCGGATGAAGCAGAAAAAAAAATAATAATAAATAAATAAGAGGTCATCTTCATTTTTCTCCTGGCTTCACTGAACACTACTTCACTGAGTCTTTTTTATGTTTTTGAGACAGGGTCTTACTCTGTTGCCCAGGCTGGAGGGTAGCCTCGTGATCTCGGCTCACTGCACCCTTTGCCTCCCAAATTCAAGCTATTCTTATGCCTCAGGCTCCCGAGTAGCTGGGATTACAGGGGCATTACCACCACACATGGCTCATTTTTTTGTATTTTTAGTACAGAGTGTCACCATGTTGGCCAGGCTGGTCTTGAACTCCTCACCTCAAATGATCCTCCCGCCTCAGCATCCCAAAGTGCTGGGATTACAGGTATAAGCCAAGGGTCTTTTTTTTTTTTTTAGATGGAATCTTGCTCTGTCACCCAGGCTGGAGTGCAGTGGTACTATCTCAGCTTTAAGGCAGCCGCCACCTCCTGGGTTCAAGCTATTCTCCTGCCTCAGCCTCCAGAGTAGCTGGGATTGCAGACACCCGCCACCACACCTGGCTGATTTTTGTATTTTTAGTAGAGACAGGGTTTCACCATTTTGGCCAAACAGGTCTCGAACTCCTGACCTCAGGTCATTCACCTGCCTCAGCCTCCCAAAGTGCTGGGATTACATGCATGAGCCACCACGCCCCCACCCAAGGATCTTATATTAACAGATGAGACCCTCTTTGGCCGTTGGACATGCCTCCCACCTGTCTTAAAGGAGACACAGCAATCTTCCTGGGTCCCCTTGTTTGTGGTTTTTATTTTTTTGAGATGGAGTCTTGATTTGTTACCCAGGCTGTAGTGCAATGGCGCAATCTTGGCTCATTGCAACCTCTGCCTCCCGGGTTCAAGCGATTCTCCTGCCTCAGCCTCCTGAGTAGCTGGGATTACAGGCACCCACCACTATGCCCAGCTAATTTTTGTATTTTTAGTAGAAATAGGGTTTCACCATGTTGGTCAGACTGGGTTTATGGGTCTTACCATTCTCTACTAAGAAATCGTTTTTTAGAGTTAATTCTGTCAGCGTAGTGTTCTTAGTTAAGAATAAACTCTGCCGGACGTGGTGGCTCACCCCTGTAATCCCAGTGCTTGGGGAGGCCAAGGCTGGTGGATCACCTGAGGTCAGGAGTTCGAGACCAGCCTAACCAACATGGAGAAACACCGTCTCTACTAAAAATACAAAATTAGCCAGGCCTGGTGGAGCATGCTTGCAATCTCAGCTACTTGAGAGGTTGAAGCAGAAGAATTGCTTGGACCCGGGAGGTGGAGGTTGCAGTGAGCCGAGATCATGCCATTGCACTCCAGACTGGGCAACAAGAGCGAAACTCCATCTCAAAAAAAAAAAAAAAAAAAAAGAATAAACTCATGGCCAGGCATGGTGGCTCACACCTGTAATCCCAACACTTTGGGTGGCTGAGGTGGGAGATCTCTTGAGCCCAGAAGTTTCAGATCAGCATGGAAAAGATGGGGAGACCCCATCTCTACAAAAAAATAAAAAAATTAGCTGGACGTGGAGGTGTGCGCCTATAGTCCCAGCCAATCAGGAGGCTGAGGTAGCGGGATCACTTGAGCCTGGGAGGTGGAGGCTGCAATCACACCACTGCACTCCAGCCTGGGAGACAGAGTGAGACCCTGTCTCAAAACAAAACAAAAAAAAAGAGTAAACTCAGTAAGAAAAGAATTCTGCTAAGTAAGAACCCTTAATATCTAATCACCCTGGCCTGCCTTCAACAAGAGTCCTGTCAGTTTAACAAGAACCGTCTTGTTAAACCATCGGTTTAACAACCATCTCCTTTTAGTAATTTTCCATCCAGTGACCCCTCACTCTGATTGTTGGCTATGAATCCCACTTGTCCTCATTGTATTCAGAGTGGAGCATAATCTCCCCTTTGGTCCTGAATAAATTCTTCCTTGCCATTTTTACAAGTGGTAAAATATTTTTTTCTTTAACATCCAGAAGATGTTAAACACTGTACATGCTGTCTATGGAAGATTAAATTCAGAAGTTCCCCTTCTTCCACTGTCTAAATGTGGAAAGAAATGTTTCTGTGCCATCTAACCAGAAAATTTATGCCTGTGAAGCAGCTCTAGATTTCAGGCAGGGAATGAGCATTCCTAATCTGCTTCCTCACAAGACTGGTGGCATTCAACTGAGATGAATGGATGGTGGGGAATGATGAGTAAACCAGGAAGTGGGTCATCTGTCTAAAGTTCAAATCACCTTCTGAGTTACCAAAATAATATCTTTCATTTTAAACTCTATCTGCAGGGACAATTGCCCTCAGGATCCTGGATACGTTTCCCTTAATTTTACTTATTAGATTTTCTGAAAGCACTGAGAACGAAAACCATTTGCACCCACACAGCTTATTGTCTATATTAAATGGTAACTATTTCAGTAAATTAAAAATGAAGGTCAAGGCTGGGCATGGTAGTGGGCACCTGTAATCACAGCTACTCGGGAGGCTGAGGAAGAAGAATCGATTGAACCCGGGAGGCAGAGATTGCATTGAGCCGAGATTGTGCCACTGCACTCCAGCCTGGGTGACAGAGGGAGACTGTGTCTCAAAAATAAACAAACAAACAAACAAAAAACTCAGCCTCCTGAGTAGCTGGGATTACAGGTGTGAGCCATCATGCCTGGCTAATTTTTGTATTTTTAGTAGAGACAGGGTTTCACCGCGTTGGTCAGACTGGTCTTGAACTCCTGACCCGGTGATCCACCGGCCTCAGCCTCTCAAAATGCTGGGATTACAGGCATGAGACACTGGGCAGGGCCAATTTTTTATTTTAATTAATTTATTAATTTATTTAGAGATGGAGTCTTGCTCTGTCGCCAGGCTGGACTACAGTCTCATGATCTCCGCTTACTGTAACCTCCGCCTCCAAGTTCAAGCGATTCTCCTGCCTCAGCCTCCCAAGTAGCTGGGACTACAGGCGCACATCACCCCACTGGGCTAATTTTTGTATTTTTAGTAAAGACGGGGTTTCACCATGTTGGCCAGGATCGTCTTGATCTTTTGACCTTGTGATCCGCCCTCGTCAGCCTCCTAAACTGCTGGGATTACAGGTGTGAGCCACCGTGCCTGGCCCGGGGAAGCACTTTTATTATTTGCATTTTATAGAGGAGAAAAGTGAGGCTTAGAGACATACAATTATTTTCCCACACTCACACAGCTAATAAATGCCATCAGAAGGATTTAAACATAGCATTTTGTCTCTAGTACTGTCCACTTTACTTTTTTTTTTTTTTTTTTAAAGAGACAGTGTCAGAGGCGTTTGAACCAGAGTGACTTCATCTTGAATAGGGGCTGGCTAAAATAAGGCTGAGACCTATTGGGCTGCATTCCCAGGAGGTTAGGCATTCTTAGTCACAGGATGAGATAGGAGATTGGCACAAGATACAGGTCATAAAGGCCTTGCTGATAAAACAGTTTGCAGTAAAGAAGCCAGCCAAAACCCACCAAAACCAAGATGGTGATGAAAGTGACTTCTGGTCGTCCTCACTGCTCATTATACTGTAATTATAGTTCATTAGCATGCTAAAAGACACTCCTAACAGCGCCATGACAGTTTACAAATGCCATGGCAACATCACAATGTTAAGTTATAGGGTCTAAAAAGGCAAAAAAACTCTTAGTTCCAGGAATTTCTCACCCCTTTCCCAGAAAACTCATGAATTATCCACCCCTTGTTTAGCATATAATCAAGAAATAACTGACCGGGCACAGTGACTCAGGCCTGTAATCCCAGCACTTTGGGAGGCCGAGGTGAGTGGATCACAAGGTCAGGAGATAGAGACCATCCTGGCTAACACGATGAGACCTGGTCTCTACTAAAAATACAAAAAATTAACCGGGCCTGGTGGCAGGTGCCTATAGTCCCAACTACCTGGGAGGCTGAGGCAGAAGAATTGCTTTAACCTGGGAGGTGGAGATTGCAGTGAGCTGAAATTGCACCACTGCATACCAGCCTGCGTGACAGAGGGAGACTACGTCTCAAAAAAGAAGAAAAAAGAAAGAAAGAACCATAAAAATATCCAACCAAGCCAGGCACAGTGGCTCACGCCTGTAATCCCAGCATTTTGGGAGCCCAAGACAGGCGGATCACCTAAGTCAGGAGTTTGACAAAACCAGTCTGACCAACATGGAGAAACCCTGTCTTTACTAAAAATACAAAATACAGGATGGCGCATGTCTGTAATCCTGGCTACTCAGGAGGCTGAGGCAGGAGAATCGCTTGAACCCAGGAGGTGGAGGTTGCAGGGAGCCAAGATCGTGCCATTGCACTCTAGCCTGGTCAACAA